AGGGGAGATGGAACAGGTCTGAGATGGAGACGGAGAGGGAGATAGATGCAGGCAGTGGCCGACGGGACCCCAGAGCAGCGACAGCAGCCCAGACCCGGACTGGCAGAGGGAGCCGGAGGGATCCGAGTGTGGGAGCGCTCCAACAGGACAAGAGTGAAGCGTGAGCAGCAGCAGGTCACGTGACACAGTAGAGAGCCTGGCAGAGGTGGGGCCGCACCCCCCAGGAGATGCCAGCTCCTCAGGATGTTGAGGGCTCTCTCATCTGTACATGATTTGACACTTGATTTTTTTTTTTTCCGGCTGTTCCAAGGTGTGAAAGTGGAAGTCCTCAGGGAAATTCATGCTTCAGATTTTACCTGTTGGTCTTCTTGGTGGGGCTCATAACACAAGGTGCCATTTTGTTTGCCACTGGGCAACAACCATGAGCCAAAAGTCCCCAGCCAGGCCATCGTGAGGATGAATGGTGGGGTTTGACATTGCTAAGCTCTTCTGTCCAGTAGGTTAGATGGATTACATGCATTTTCTACTTGGGATATTGGTGACTTGGGATGGGTTCCTATTAACCCCATAGGACTTATTCAGAATCAGTAACTCATTCAACACACAACAAGCATTTGTGGAACGTAGAGTATGTCCCAAGCCACCGTCCAGGGGCTGGGCCTTTCGCAGTAACTCCGACGGTGGAAAGGCACATCCCTCTAGCTCTTACGTGACAGTGCATCCTGTGCATTAGGAAAATTGCTTCACACTTGGACCAAAGCTAAGGCATGCCTGCCATCAACTGCTCCGCAAAGACAGTGCCTTGGGACTGCTCACTAAAACAGGACCTGGCATTGCTGCCAGCCTGGAAATGTGCTGATGGAATTAAAAAAAAAAAAAAAAAGAACTGGCTACTGCTGACACAGCAGGGGAAAACCAGATGAGTACGAAATCACATTTTCTTAAAAAATCAACATAATATCAACTCCCAGATCCCAGCTCCTCCCCCCACCCCCACCCCCACCCTTCCAGGCCAGCAATGAAGTCCAGCTCACTCAGGAGTTTTGTCAGATACTCTGGCATCTTGCCCAGGACAGGGATGGAGAGCGAGGGCACACTGGCAAGGCCTGAGAACTGCCATCCCGCTCTCCTTACCCCACGAACTGTGGCCCCCCGCCGCTCCCCCTGAGACACCCTGCCGTCTCCCTCTGAGCTCGTCACCCCTCCTGAGAACACGGGTAAGACCCCCGAACTCATAAAAGTCATAGATCTGTTGTCTCCACCCCCCCTCCCACCTCCAAGCTGGAAAATGTCTCCTCCGTTCCTTGCCTCCCTTCCTAACGCCCTACAGCAGTCCATCCAATGCATCCACCTTTTACAGAAGATGAGAACTCTCACTGATCTGGGGGGTGACCTTGCTTCTTCACACTCATCCTGACCACAAAGACAGGGAGCCAGTTGGAAATGATGAGCGAAGGCTTAGAGGCCAGCATGAGAGACAGAAGGAGGGAAGCAGAGGAAGACCTCAACCCCTCGCCCTGTGGATGTAATACTCACCATGAAGAAAAGTGTCCATGCAAAAACAACCAAGACAAGCAATCTGGAACAATGTGGCTGCCATGATTCCCTCCCCAGCCCAAAGAGCTATTGGTTCAGATTCTGCCTACTTGGAAGATCTTCAGACAAGGGTACCTTAAATTAGACTGGGAGGCCCCGATGCTGGTGGCTGTAATTCTAGCTACTCAAGAGGTCTGAGGATCATGGTTCAAAGCCAGACCATGCAGGAAAGTCCATGAGACTCTTACCTCCAATTAGCTAGCAAAAAGCCAGGAGTGGAGGTGTGACTCAAGTGATAGAGTACCAGTCTTGAGTGAAAAAGCCAAGCCAAGATACAAGGCCCTGAGTTCAAACCCTGCTGCCAACATATACACAAAGAAAGGACGGTATTTTTAAAAACTGTTACGCTGGGTGAGGACCACATGCCAGGGTAGGCACTTGTTGGTGATGGCCTGGTGAATGGGATGGCCGGGGACTCTGTCTTCCTGGGATGGCGGTGGGCATGGTCCCCCACTAGCCTCTCAGATGGACATCATGGGCAGTGCACAGTGCTCAGTGCACAGTGCTCACTGAGTCCAGGCTGTGATCCGGCTGCTGTTGAATTTTTGTTATCATAAAAGTGAAGAGGATTCTCCTAAATTCCCCTTTTCTGTCTTGCTGAGAGGGAAATTCTGCTTCAGAACTGACCTCTCTGCTTCTCAGAACACTAAAAAATGGAACTGTTTTGAGTAAAGCTGATTTCAAGGCATGCTGGTGAGCCCCCGACACAGGTTCTTGGTCTAAAGCTGTGAAGAAGTCTCTGAAAATGTGTGTACATATTTCCTTGGCAACTCTACCCTGTTTGGCAAAGAGAGGCCAATTAATATGTCAAGCTCTTTAACAGAGCCTTCTGCACATATACCTTTCGGCAGACTTAGAGACAAGGAAGAATCACTGGAAACATAAAGTGATAGCACCTAAAAAATAGGAAGAACTTCCAAGTGGAAGGAATAATGGGCATTTAGCAAGTTTGGGCTCAGTTTCCAGCCATGACAGCTATGCAAGCAAGAACCAAATTACCATCACAAGGTTAGTGACTGATAGATGAGATTTGTGTTTCTAAAAGAGGCAGAAGAATCACAAGGTTGAGGCCAGACTGTGCAAAATTGAGCAAGACCAGGTCTCATAAAAAGGGGGATCGGGCTGGGAAGGTGGCTCAGGGGAAGAGCGCTTGCCTCACATGCGTAAAACCCTGGGTTCGATTCTTCAGCAGAAAAAAAACTGGAAGTGGCGCTGTGGCTCAAGTGGTAGGGTGCTAGCCGTGAGCTGAAGAGCTCAGAGACAGCGCCCAGACCCAGAGGCCAAGCTCCATGGCCAACAAACAATAAAGGGGGGGATGAATGCAGGAGTTGGGGTGCATGGCTTCAGAAGGAAATCCCATCAGGTAACATAATGACATTGCTTCTGCATATACAGAGCTTGAGTTGGGATAAGGAGATTGCTTATTTGTTCTGTAAGTTTCTTATTCTTGTTAGTGGTTTTGCAAAGTACAGATACAAAAAAGTAGAAAACAACCAAGCAAAGATGTTAACTGTTAACACAAGTATATTTCCCCCTAGGATTTTTCCCTCCATGAAATTTCCCTAAGAATCTGTCATGGTATCACATATATTTGCTTAATCGCTGAAATGCGTTCTGAATATTCCCTAGGCCCTTGAGGGCTCTTCTGTGAAAGCGGCATCGCATCTTCCGTTTTCACATATTAACTTATTTCATCAGGAGACTTTTAGATAATCCCTGTGTCTTTATAATTGGCATGGTCTTAAACAACTATAAAACGAAATGTTTATACGTCTGTACAGCTACTTAACTATGACCAAAAAAATCCAAGTAAACATAGTAGCTTTTGGTACGAATAAAGAACACGACGTAACACATGGACAGAAAATTCGGTGCATTAACGTTGCGAACTGTTCATGCAGAGGATTTTGTGCTTTTTCTCTGCCACTGAAAAATTCGCATCACAGTAAGAAATTCACACATCCCGTCCTAGGAGCTAGTCTTTGTTGAAAACTGAGCATGAATCTGACCAAGCTTCCAGAGGTAACTAGCAACAGGCAATATAGGAGGCCCAAGAAACATACGTAGAAGGACAGGGGCACATTCTACAAGATGTGGCCCCTGGGAAAGTGGGTGTGGATGTGTGAATGTGTGAGAGAAAAGGGAGACAAATGGACATTAACGAAATTTAAGGAAATTGCTTGGTATTTTGTGTATCAACCAATTGAAATTGGGTAATTCATTCAAATAAGAAAACTATAGAGAAAAAATAAAACAGAGAAATGTGAACATTGGCATAAAGTATTGGTTATTAGCACAGGAATGATTCTTTTTGACCCTGGCTATTCAATACTAAGAAATGATTGTTCTTTAGAAGAAATAATATAGCATATTATTATTACTATTATAGGGACATGTCCTATATAATAATAATAGCCATAAATTGGTGATTTATTTGAACAGTACTAGGGTTTGAAATCAGGACCTTGTACATGCCAGACTGGTGCTAAGCCATGTGAGACATGCCTTTAAGCCCTAATTTTTGCTGGTTATTTTGAAGATAGAGTCTAGCAATCTTTATTTCTTGGGCTGACCTTAAACTTTGATCCTCTGGATCTCAGCCTCTTGACTATGATGACAAGCGTGAGCCACCTGCACCTGGTATAAATGGACAAGTTTTAAAGGCAGGTGGTAAGTAAAAATAAACAACAAACACTGCCCAGCGAGATATAGGTGGCTCATAGCTGTAATCCTCGTTGCTCAGGAAGCTGAGATCTGGAGGATCCCAGTTTGAGGCCAGCACAGGCATAAAATAATCCAAAAGACTTCATTTCCAGAATAACCAGCAGAATGCCAGGCTAGAGGTGTGGCCCAAATGATAGAGCGCCAGCTAAGCAAGCAAGCTGAGTAAGCTTGAGGCTCTGAGTTTCAGCCTCAGTAAGAATTCTTTGTTAAGGCTCCCTGTTTACTCTTTCTTCCTTTTTATGTCCATCTTATAACCATACTAGAATAGCAATCAAAGTATTAGTAAGTATTTTGACTTCTTAAATATTTTGTGAGCTTTTGATTAAGCTTCCAGTGTGAAATTTCGACATGGAATTCTGCAAAACAACCTTGCGCTTGAAACCCAGAAAAAAAAATCCTTTTCTCTTCCCAGTCCCTTCCTGTGTCTGTTCCCCTGTGTAGCCCAGTAATAAGAGTGAGCATCACGTTGTCTTGAGAACATCACAAATAGCTTGGCACAGGATTTCGCAGACGAAACGGGCATGCAAGATAATACGCGTAATTGCTCTGAGCAGCGTATGCTAATGTTTTCATTCTTTCTCGTTTCCCTCCTGCAAACAGTTTCTTCCCACTTTTGCCATCCAGGAATATTTTGAATTTTTAGCTAATCATATTTTCCCTGTTATCTGTCTCTATTTCAGGATGGCATGGGAAACTTGAGGATCACAGAAAAAGGTCTCCGACTAGAAGGAGACTCAGAGTTCCTGCAGCCTCTCTACGCCAAAGAAATCCAGTCCCGCCCAGTAAGTTTCTGCTAAGAGCAGACAAATGGTTCTTCTCACATCGGAGCCTGGGGAGATGTATCTTGCCATTTGTTGAGATAGAATATTGTGATGGGGGTGGGGAAAGGGGTAGGCACAGAGCTCGTGATGGATCTGCTCTCAGATCAGAAGCCTTGGCTTATCCTAGGGATGTGGTGCTGTGTGCAAGAGCGCTGGCCTCTGTCCCTTGAGTCTTCTTTTCCTTTCCTGTGAAATAGAGAGGAACAATATCCAATAAACCAGCTTCAGGAACAAGATTGCAAATCAGGTGACACCGAAGAACTGTGGGTACAACAGATTCTGCCACATACTGGTTTTCATTGTCCACGGTACTAAGGCTGAAGACCTGAAGATCATGCGTCAGAAAATCCCTGTGAGACTCTTCTCTCTAATTAACCACCAGAAAACTGGAGTGGCACTATGGCTCAAAGTGATAGAGCACTAGCCTCGAGCCAAAAAGCTCAGGGACAATGCCTAGGCCCTGAGTTCAAGCCTAATGACCAACAAAAAGAAAGAAAAGGTAGAGTCCCAGATTTATAGGTGTGGCCTGGCTGGTCATTTTCTCAACTCTTGTTCTTCTGGGTTGCAGAGAAGTTGCTGATTGACGTCATCATTTGAAGAGGGCAATTTGGTAGCCGTGAGATGATTCTCCTGCTCCAGGATGCATCCCAGTCATTATAGATGATTGCCCTCATTTGGGGGAGTTCTGTCCTACAAGGCTTTGCTCTCCTTGGGGGCGGTTTTCAGTCCTAAACACATGATCCATCAGTCCTGTCTTCCCTGGGGCCCAAGACGAGTGTGCAAGCCACTGTGGACAGAATGGGCTAGGGCGGTGACCCACAAGATGGAGGCAGAGAGGGCAGGCTTGTCTCGTGATTTTAGTTGATTTGTGGTAGCCATACATACCTGTTCAAACAGACCGAAAGTGGGGCATCTGAGAACCAGAGCGCTGGCCTTAGGAGTCTGAGTACTTGTTGAGATTGCCTGCGAGGAATTCCTGGCCCTAGGTGTGGTGTACAGGGCTCAGGTCTCCTGTGAGTCCAGAAATCTTCATTACCATACTTTATCTTTGAGACCTTATGTTCTCACCTTCCATGTGAGCTTCCCTATTGGTCGCTGTTACCTATCAATTATCAGCAAATCATCTGCGAAATTGTACTTAATCACTGGTATCTAATTAAATTCAAAGATCGGTTCATTGAAGTAGGGATTTTTTTTTGCTTCATTTTACAAACTAGAGAACAGAGACCATGTACAAAATCATATACTTAGGAAATAACAGAACAAAAGTTTTCATTCCCAGAAATGTGACTTCAAAGCCACAGTCTGCTATATAAGCTTTTGTTTTTCCTTCCTTCCTTCCTTTCTTCTTTCCTTCTTTCCTTTTAATTATGATAAAAGTCTTTCTACATGCCTTCCTTTTGTTGATTAATAGTATCAAGGTTGATTCCTTTTAGCATTCTTTTTGATTGGATAAGTTCTGTTAAGTTCGTTTTTGTCTTTTTGTGCTGAGGGAAGATAGAGTTTCTGGTTGGAAGGGATGATTCATACATTTGTTTGGGGTGAACTTGATCTGAAGCCACCTGCTATAGCTCTGTAGCCAGGGGTCACTGGAAAGTTCCCCCAAAGCATCATTTGCATTGTGTGCATAGATTAGCATAATTAATGTGCTTCAGCAATTTGATATGGTAGCTAGTTTTATTGAAATGCCATCTAAAGCCCTGAATTGTATTAAACTAAATGGCACTGAATTGCTGTCAACAAGTGGACTTCTTTGCCTGTTTATAAAAAACGAAGCTGGACACTGGTGGCTCACGCCTGTAATCCTAGCTACTCAAGAGACTGAGATCTGAGGATGGTGGTTCAAAGCCAGGCTGGGCAGGAAAGTCTGAGATACTCCTATCTCCAGTTAATCACAAAAAAATCCGGAAGTGATGCTATGGCTCAAAGTAATAGAGTGCTAGCCTTGAGCAAAAGAGCTCAGGAACAGCGCTCAAGCTCTGAGCTCAAGCCCCATGACTGACCAAAAAAGAAGGGCCAGAGTGGTAAAAACATCAAAAAGAGCACATCACTTCAGTCCCACAGTTATTATTTATAAAATTTAACTGTATTCATACAGTACATTCACCAAGGCACTCCAAGTACTATGAATATCAAAAATCTATTCAGAAGTTACACCCTGAATGGATGGTCACATGATATACTCCACTTTGTACTGATGAGAGACAATTTTTCGACATTCTTGCCAATGGTAATACTCTCGCCTTTGATAATACTCTCCTAAACAGGTGCAGCATGACATCTTGTGGTTTTTATATTGATATATACGCTATGATTAGTAATGTCGAGCACATTTTTGGATGTCTTCCTTGAAATAAGTATTGTTGTCAGTATTTCGCTTGCCTATGGAATGGCAAGAGTTCCATCTGTACTCATATTTTCGTTCCCCTCTTAAGTACTGTGTGATTTGCAAATACGTCCTCCCATTCTGTAGTTAACTTTTTCACTCCTTTTGCCATGAAGAAGCTTTTATGGGTTGATGAGTCCCGCTTTATTTTGCTTAAATCACCTTTGCTTCTGGTACCATATACCAAAAGAGTATCCTATATTACCAAGATCAGGATTTTGATGTGTTCTCTTATTTTCTTCTAGAGGTTTTATTGGTTTATATCATATGTTTAAGTTGTAATGCATTGTATGTGTATGTGTGTATATATATAGATAGATAGATATCTATATAGATAGATAGATATCTGTATATAGATAGATATCTATCTATCTATATATATACACACACATAAGATAAGGATTCCATCATATTCTTTTCCTGTTTTGTGTGTGTGTGTGTGTTTTTAATTTTAGCATGTGGATATCCAGTTTTCTCAGCACTGCTCACTACAGAGACCATTCTTAAACCCATCTTAAGTTCTTGGTATCTATGTTGATGATTAGTCAACTCTGTCTAAGTCCATTTATTTCTGGGTTGGGTATGCTGTGGTTGACCCGTGTGCCTGATTTCGTGCTGATGCCATGCTGTTTTGATGACTGCAGCTTTGTACTCTCACTTGAAGCCAGGCACCACGATACTCCACTTTGTTCTTTATACGTCTAAATTGCACATGTGCTCCATGGCAGATGAATTTGAGCTTCTGGAACCCAAAGCTGAGACTCACCACAACTGTCCTCCCCCCTATATCCCCTAGAACATGCCTCCCTTTTGTATTTATCCCTCTTCCCACTAAAGAACATACGCTGGGGTGGAAGGTGTGCTTGGTAGGATACTAACCTTGGAAGTAACTGAGGATGGCAGTCAAGTTAGGGGTAAAGAGTTTTCACTGAACATTGACCAGTAGCGAGTAGAGCAGAGAAGAGCCGTGTGTCTCTGGTTAGTTTAGAAACCAGGAGCAACACAGCTTCAGCTCCCAGCTGAACATATTGCACACAAAACAGCCATCTCTCCGCTACTTGCATAGAACCCGAGCATCTTGCTGGCTTTAATTAAGAAATTAACTGGACCATGAAGTATTGCCCAAGTTAAATAAAAGTGATTTGTACCAAGTCAGAAGGGGGTACATTGGGCAACTTTGAATTTCTTTGCTTACCCATAAATTACAGATGGCATTAAAAACTGGAAGGGTCATCTCTGAGCCCATCTGCACTGCGAAACTAGTTGCTGTTCCCTGATGTCTTGTCTGTTTACATGTGCTGATTGATTGCAGACTGTCATGGGGACCAGATGCTTTGCCTGCTTTATACAGACACAAACTTTGAATCATTCGGCACAGAAATCCTGGAAAGCAGGCATTAGGTATTCAAAGGCTTCTGGTTACCATAGATTGTTGTCTAAGTAGACTGATGCTTTGGGTCCTCTCTTAAGGTAGAAGACCTTGCGAGTGTGTGTGTTTTTTGAGGGACCTCAAATGCAATTACATCAACCAGCACAGTGCTAGAGGAGGTCAGTGCAAACTTGACATGAGAGGAAGAAGGCCTGGATGCATGTTTCCGGAGGCTTTGGGTAGGGAGGATACTGCAGACAGCCCCTTCCTTCTGGTCAGGGTACCGGAAGATCCATCACGAGTTCATCCATCTAAAACTTCTCATGCCAGACTTGTACTTGTGAACACCCCTTCCTCACTCCGCTTATACCATTTCCACCCAGGATTAGTATCACTCATAAGATAGATGTGGCTCACAGAGTGACTCAAGCCTGTTATCCTAGCTACTTGGAAGGTGAAGATTGTAGGCTCATGATTTGAGACCCACCCAGGGCAAAGTAAATGTGTAAGTCTCCATCTCAACCATGGGCTGGGTGTCATGGTTGCCTGCCTGCCTGTCTGCCATCCCAGCAACATGGAATAGCACACAGATCGGACGATCACCTTCTAGGCAAGTGGAGCATAGAACCTGACTCTTACCTCAAAAATTAATTAGCTCAAAAAGGGACTGGTGGAGTGGCTGAAGCAGTAAAGTATCAGTACTTTGACAGAACCTCAGTACTGTCAAATATATATATATATATATATATATATATACACACATATAGATATATAGTGACATGGGGTCACATAATACAATGAGAAAAATGCTAACTTAGAACAGGAAGTAGAAAGAGGAATAAGCTGATAGAACATAAAGGAAAGGCCATGAATTTTCCATGCATGTTGGATGGAACTTTGCATTGGTATACTCTCTGGACTGACTTCAAATATCACGATTGATTTCAAATAGCAGAGAGGGGACGGAGTGCTGTCAGTTGTGTGTTCTAGAGATTCCAAGCTGGGGACTCTTTTCTCTCTCCACATTGCCCTTCTGATAAGCAGTGAGCCCCATAGCAGTTCCTCTCCATTTCTCGATTTCGTTAACGATCGGGCATGACTGATGGCGCCCTACAACTTTTGCAGTCATAATATCTTTAAGCAAGTTACTTGGAACCCTGAATTCAAACCAGGTTGGCCGGGCCCTGCATCTTTGCTGTCCTGCCT